AAAGCACATGCGACAATGTGAGCAATGTGTATAATGAGGAACTTGAAATGTACACATGTAAGTAAAGCATACGTGGAAACGTACGCAATGTGTATGGCAGGAATGAAATGTACATATGTAAGTAAAACACATACGACGACATGTACAATGTGTGAAAATAAAGGCACATGAAATGTACACATCTAAGTAAAGCAATACGCGACAACGCATGCAATGTGTATAATGAGGAACTTGAACTGTACACATGTAAGTAAAGCATACGTGGAAACGTACGCAATGTGTATAGAAACTTGAACACATATAAGTAAAGCATAACGCGACAACGCATGCAATGTGTATAGGAACTTGAACTGTACACATGTAAGTAAAGCATAACGTGACAACGCATGCAATGTGTATAAAAGAAACTCGAACACATATAAGTAAAGCAGTATGCGACAACGCATGCAATGTGTATAAAAGAAACTTGAACACATATAAGTAAAGCAATACGCGAAAACGCATGCAATGTGTATGGCAGGAATGAACACATATAAGTAAAGCATGCGCGTTAACGCAAGCAATGCGTAACCTCCTGAAAATATGCATGAACACATGTAAGTAAAGCACACGCGGAAACGCATCCAATGTGTAAAAATAAAGGAACTTGAAATGTACACATGTAAGCAAAGCAATACGCGACAACGCATGCAATGTGTATAATGAGGAACTTGAACACATGTGAATAAAGCAATACGCGACAACGCATGCAATGTGTATAAAAGAAACGTGAACACAAATAAGTAAAGCAATACGCGACAATGCATGCAATGTGTATGGCAGGAATGAACACATGTAAGTAAAGCATGCACGCTAACGCAAGCAATGCGTAACCTCCTGAAAATATGCATGAACACATATAAGTAAAGCACACGCGGAAACGCATGCAATGTGTAAAAATAAAGGAACTTGAAATATACACATGTAAGTAAAGCAATACGCGACAACGCATGCAATATGTATAATGAGGAACTTGAACACATGTGGGTAAAGCAATACGCTACAATGCATGCAATGTGTATAAAAGAAACTTGAACACATATAAGTAAAGCAATACGTGACAACGCATGCAATGCGTATAAAAGAAACTTGAACGCATATAAGTAAAGCAATACGCGACAACGCATGCAATGTGTATAAAAGAAACTTGAACACATATAAGTAAAGCAATACGTGGCAATGCATGCAATGTGTATGGAAGAAACTTGAACACATATAAGTAAAACAATACGCGACAACGCATGCAATGTGTATGGCAGGAATGAACACATGTAAGTAAAGCATGCGCGCTAACGCAAGCAATGCATAACCTCCTGAAAATATGCATGAACACATGTAAGTAAAGCACAAGCGGAAACGCATGCAATGTGTAAAGCAAGCAAGGTATGAACACATATAAGTAAAGTACACGCGAAAACGTGTACAATGTGTAACCACCTGGGGGGGGATGCATAAACACATATAAGTAAAGCACACGCGGAAACGCATGCAATGTGTAAAGCAAGAAAAATATACACATGTAAGTAAAGCACGCGCGAAAACACATGCAATGTGTATAGCAGGAACAATGTAAATGAAACGTGTATGACAATGCGAGGTAGGAAAATGCATGACAATGCATATACTGAACTGCATGACAATGCATGTAATTGAAATGCATAACAATGCAAAGTAAGGAGATGCATGATAATGCATGATAAGGAAATGCATGACAAGACGTGATAAAGGAATGCATGACAATGCATGTACTGAAATGCATAATAATGCAAAGTAAGGAGATGCATGACAATGCATGATAAGGAAATGCATGACAATGCAAATCCGGTGTACATAACAATGCACGATGAGAGAAATGCATGATAATGCATGTACTGAAATGCATGACAATGCAAAGTAAGGAAATGCATGACAATGCAAAATGAGACACGCATGACAATGCATGAATTGAAATACGTGACCACGCATGTAATTGAAATGTACGACAATACGTGTAATGCATAACAATGCGTGATAAGGGAATGCATGGTAATGCATGTATTGAAACGCATAACGATGCGCGATATGGAGATGCACGACAATGCAAAATGAGACACGCATAACAATGCATGAATTGAAATGCATGACAATGCATGTAATTGAAATGCATGACAATGCATACTATTAGGATGCACGACAATTCAAATGAGGTGCACATGATAGTGCGTGGTAGGAAATATGCACGACAATGCGTGTAATTGAAATGCATAACAATGCGAAATGAGACACACACGACAATGCATAGATTGAAATGCATGACAATGCATGTACTGAAATGTAGATGAAAGATGCATGACAATGCAAATGAACTTGAATGCGCGACAACGCGCGTCTTTTGAAATGTATGACAATGCAAATGAACTTGAATGCGCGACAACGCGCGTCTTTTGAAATTCATGACAATGCAAATGAGGAGTGCATATCAATGCAAGTTGTGCGTGTTACAACGCGTGTAGACATACATAACAATGCAAGGGATGATGTGTGCTACAATGTATGCAAACATGCATAACAATGTAAGAGGTGGTGTGCATTACAACGCATGTAGACATGCATAACAATGTAACGTATTTGAAGTAGTTTCCGAACCTTTGCAAGATACAAAAAGGATACGAAAAGGATACACCTTGCACGTATTCGAGTGCTACGCATAGAAGACACGACATAGAGACCGGTTAAGCTTCAAAATGCAGTTCCTTGCACTGCCTTGAGCAAAGAATGTCCCAAATCACATCAACAACCCAAACAAGGGTGTAGGAGATTCACCGGCCACCGGGGGAGGTGACCGGCCATCCACTGGCCACAAAATAAGGCCATCGGCCAACTTTTTGGCCGATCGGCCAAAAATGCCTGTGTCGGGGCAGTTTTGACATTTCGGCACGGGTCTTTAAATATAGGGCTCAAACCCTTATTTCTTCACTTGCCTCTTGGTCGAAAACTCTTCCCCCATCCCTCTAGGTCATTTTCTAACCTTCTATCCTCACTTTTGTCGCGTTTTAGAGCCATCTTTGACGTTTAATTCGCGAAATCCTTCGCGTTTCAAACATTTTGAACCGAACAAATCTCCGTTTCGGTACACTTTTCTTGATTTCCACCACTCGGGATTGGTTTCCCTCGAGTTTACCTCGATCTTTGTGCCCCTTCCGAACTCCGAGCTTTCCGCCCATTTTTTACCCTCTCAGGGTTGACTTCTCGGTTGACTCTTCACATTTTTGCCCGATTTTTACACTTCCGACCATTTTCATACCATTCTCGGCATGGCAGACGATCTTCCACAGGGCGGGACTCCTCTGGAGTAGGAGATGGACCCCGAGGCCGAGCTCTTGCCTTTGAGCGTTCGACCGTTCGACCCGGCGACCTACAGGCCGGCGATTCACGTGTTGCCTCCTGACAGACTTCGCCAGTTCAGGAGTTTTGCCAGGGGTGTACTACCAGAGCTTCTACTGCGCGAGCCAGAGTCACATCTGTCTTACAGCGCTTCCGAGGTATACTCTTCCCCATTTCATTTTCCACAATGTAGAACACAACTGCAATAGTCGATCTTATTCTTTAATTGCTTAGCCCAGATACACCGATATACCACATGTTGTAGTCTACTGCGAGCACACCTATACTCGGTATTTGTTTGAATCTGAACACGTGCACACACACTGCATTTTCCACTGAACCACTCAGACACACTGATATATCACATGCTGTAATTCACTGCGAGCACACCTGCACCCGACATCTGTTTGAATCTGAACACGCGCACACTCGCTGTATTTTCATCAATTCTGAGTGCTTTTAACGCTGTATTTGTAACATTGCTTCACAAATGTTTGTTTTGACCACAGGGGGATTCCCATGCCTTTTGGGGGATGGGAACGTCATGGCCCGGGGGTGGTACATGGAGCTTCCTGAGGCGGTTCGCCGTATCGTCGACCAGGCCGGCTTCGGTACTTTTTGCATGGGGCTCTCACGCCTGACTGCGAGTAGGCCTCTCCTTGCTGCTCTGGTGGAGAGGTAGTGGGACACCACCGACTCTTTCCATCTTTCGGCCACGGGACACATGACGATGACTCCCTTCGACTTCTCCATGCACACAGGCATTGGAGTAGGGGGTGATCCGATCCCCTTCGATACAGATATAGACGAGTGAGAGGCCGCTCAGATGTACCTGCTCGGCGACCTACCACCTCTTGCTCGTCCAGGATTTGTACGATACTCGTGGTTCGAGGACCACTTCAGGATCCAGGCACCTACCACTCGGGAGGAGGAGGAGCAGTACACACGCGGCTTTCTGATGTTCCTGCTGGGGGCCACCCTCTTTGCCGGCCGGGCGAACACCGTGCCCTTTTGCCTGTTGAGTGCACTGGTTGACGTGGCCAGGATCTGTGGCTACGACTAGGGTGGCGCAGGCCTGGCCACACTCTACGGCTATATGAGTTCATCCTCTCGCCTCAGCGGACAGCTGCTCGGAGGCTACTGGCGGGCTTGGGAGGTGCGTCTTCTTCTTCTGTTTCACATTTCTGCTTTACATTCTCTATACTCTGTATACTGTACACACTGCGGTCTTCGTCACACTGGTCATATATTGCACCCACGGCACACATATGATTTGCTTTACACACTGCACACATTGCACAACACACTTTATATACTGCACAATCTGCTGCCAACTGGCTGTAGACTGCACACACTGCAAACATGCAATCTGCTTTACACTGCACACATTGCACAATACACCTCATATACTGCTCAATTTGTTGCCAACTGACTATACACTGCGCACACTGTAAACATGTGATCTGCTTTACTTACTGACTGTATACTGCACACACTGTATACTCTGCACGATACACGGTTCTGCGATTTCTACTTTATTCTGCATTCTTCTTTTATCTGATAAGCATACTGGTATTTGCTCTGTTACACTCCTGTAGTTGTGGGTCTACGCCTACTTCCCGAGGCTTGCCCTAGTACCAGAGGAGGAGATGCCTCCCATGATCTCATTCTCCTACCGCTTCGACGTGAGGTGCGAGCGGAGGCCTCCGGAGTCTTTCATATTCTTCCATCGCTATTTCGATACCATCACCGTGGCAGAGGTATGTCAAACATTACAATTCATTTAAACTTCGCTTCACATTGCATTTGCAATAGCAGTAGATAGCAAGCTGTATTTTGTTTGCAGATCACCTGGCAGCCGTGGGCCTCATTGCCCATTGCAATACGGGAGCGGTATGAGGGTGCTCAGGAGACCTCCCGGTTCAGGATTTTGCTAGAGGGCCCGGTCTGTCGGGCCTGGTACCTGGACGAGCGCTTCTTGCGGCAGACCTTAGGCGTGCCAGAGCAGATAGTCCCAGGTTTGCCTCCTACGACCATGAGGCGGACAGAGACATACACCCCGCAGGAGATGGCCGTTTGTACGATCGGTTGGGACTCGGAGGGCTTTAGAGGCGAGGGTGACTATGCAGAGTACGTCCAGACCTATATCATGCGGCCTCTGGGTAGTGCTCGCCGAGCTGAGAGAGAGAGGCCTGCGGCACCAGCGGCTAGAGCAGGAGCAGGAATAGGAGCACCGAGGATGGCTCGGGCCCGTGGTAGGAGTGGGCCCCGGAGAGGGTAGAGAGCTGGGTGGCCAGCGCTGCCTACGATGATGACATGCAGAGGGCAGGGTGGGGAGACTTATCAGATCCCCATTGCTCCCCCTCCAGCTGATCATGAGTTAGTCAGGTTCTACGACTTGCCCCTGGTATTTACTACTGCATTTTGTATCCTGCACAGTCATTTCATTTTATCCCGTTTGATATTCCGCAAAATACTGATGTTTCTAACACTCTTGCAGACTTCTGTCGAGTACACTCGCCAGTCTTTGGAGTTGAGCGCCCCCGTGATGGGGATGTTACAGCGGAGCCTCGACCTGCTGCCTATTTACAGTATCCCGGTAAGCTCTTTCGACCATCATCTCAAGCTTTGCACAATCTGATACATCGCACTGTCAACACAGTACTTGATATACGGCTCTCACAGCATTCGATACACTATAACCCACAGACTGTTCACACCATTTCTCACGGCATTGATACACTGCACTCAATCACTGCATTCTGTATTCATACACTGCTCACAGTATTCGTACACTGTACTCACACACTGCATTCTGTACTGATATACTGCTCACGGTACTCATACACTGCACTCATACACTATATTATGTATTTATACTCTGTTTTGCTGATGCATTTACCATTTGTCCTTTTCGGCCTCCATTCCAGATGTCAACAGCAGGGGGTGCTCCAGCAGGACCTTCTGTTCCTGCTCGAGGAGGAGGGCGAGGAGGCACAGTACATCCCCGCACCAAAGCGGGGCGCACTCACGTTGGGAGCAGCTCTTAGGCACCGATCCCTGACGATGATGAGTCTGAGGCAGAGTCGGAGGCGGAGGCAGAGTCGTCCGAGTAGGAGACCAGAGATGACTCGGGTTCGGGCTCATATGGTGGAGCTGGCGATGATGCTCCTGGACCTTCGTCCAGGAAGAAGACAAGGACAGACCCTTAGGCCTGAGACCAGTTGACATTGATCCAGACTTTTGTTGCCTTTCTTTTTTTTTGTTTTACTTTTCTTTTTGCTGGTAGCTTGAGCACACTGTACTGCCTCGGGTAGGTTTTATTTTCTTCAAAACTATGTACTTGAAAAGATGATGGAATGAAACAAACTTTTTGTCTGAAAAAGTGTTGCATTTGTACATTTTATACATCGCATCGCATTGCATCGCATCATATTACATAACAATATAAATGTAATTGATCTTTTGTCTGAAAATTGGAACACTTGCACCGGAATAACCAAGTAGTGAACCAGCTAACGTCAAAACAACTCATACAACCCACTACCCATTCTGAACGCACAGCCTACAACACAGCGCTTGGTTTACTCGGCACACAGCCCATACAACGCATTGCTTATTCTGAACACACGACCCATTCTGAACAAACAGTTCAATCTTGAAAAGACGAGATGCAAAAACGGGGCACGTAAAAGTTGGAACAAGCACGGATGCTCCATAATTTCCCTCTTTTCTTTTGCTTCGCGGTCGGAAACCCACATAGTCTCGGATAGGTCCTGGTTCTACTGTTTCGACATGGCCTGGGTTGAACCCTGCGGCTATTGAAAGAACCAATCTTGCTTTGCACAAATGTAGAGAATGGCACAGCACTCTGAGCACAAACAATTTTTTGAAATTGAGAAATGAGTTATCGACCGGGTATTGAGCCTAGGACTGACCACAGTCAAAACGACTCAACAAAAGAAAAACAAAGGTAAAACAACCTAAACACATCTATTGACACTTGAA